CTTTCCCATCTCAGGAGCTCCAGGATGCACCCTGGATTTTAAAGATGCTCTTTTCTGTTCATTCCTCCAAATAATCTGCAGACCTTCTCAATGTTGTACTGTTAAGTTTCACGGTTACTTAGTCCCAATTACTTTACACCTCCATAGTACCAGAATACTATAAGATCATCCTCTGAGAAGTGCTGTTGGGATTTGTGGAGCAAAAGTCCCATCAGCTTAGATTAGAAAATAAGTCTTGAAGAAATGGGAGAGTTAAAAGCCAGTGGAACTGTTATAGCAGAAGTAGGAAATCGATTATGTCCTGACAGAGAAGGGATGGAGAAACAGCTTCTGCTTGCTTAGCTCCTGTTCATGTGTTGAGCCAAAAGTTCTCTGTCTGCTCCTGTGCGTGTCTCTTCCTTCTAGTGCTGCTCTGGGACAGTGCCAGGACCCAGATTTTCTGCCTCCTGCAAACATCTCAGCAGGGAATCCAGTCCTCCTTCCCCTGAGCCCTGTTCTCCCCTTGTTCCTCCATTCCCTTGGACTCTGCCTTCTTTAAGGCAGATTTTAGAGGTCCTTGACATGGTGCTGACTTCAGCCCCAGATTAATAATTCACACATGCATCAGACCTGCAGAAGATGTGCAGATCCACAGATAGTGCAGCATCACTGGGCCCTGCCTGCTGAGCTGGTGCTGAAGGCCCAGCAGATTAGACTGGAAAAGCTGTGTTGGCTGTGGTGGAGTGCTGGGGGTTACCCACCCCCCTTTGCAAAGACACAGGATTTTATTTTTAATTCAGAACTTTAATACTTTTAAAAAATGCTAGTACCAAACCCCCTTTTGTCTAAGGTGTCTGGCAGCCATTGCACTGGCTGGTGCTCTTAAACCTGACCCAGACCTTTCTCTGTTACCCCTATTCACCCAACTCATTCCCAGACCTCTTCTCCAGTCCTGGTGGTGTTTGGTGCAGCTCAGCCCCATGTTACTTGCCCTGACATGTGGCTGTGGACCATGGCCTTTAAATTCCTCTGTTATTCCTATTCACCAGCCCCCATCTGTGCATTGGAACACACTCAGAACTCCCCTTTCCATCAGACAAGCCCTCACTTTTGCCTCCTTTACTCCAAATTCTTTCTGTCATTTCACCTCATGTGCTGAAGAAACTGTGCAAACTGGGGATTCAAAGTGGTGCCAAGAGGTCACGTGCAAGGAATAAAAAACAGAATGTGATAACCAAACTGATATTTGCTTAATTTGATCTTAAAAATCTTCATGGATGGGGATCCCTTGGCCTTCCTGCCTGATCTCCCCCATCTTTAGCCATCTTTATAGTTGCTACTTCTAATATCTGACATCTCCTTCTGTGCCAACTGAGCTAATTGCCTTACCTTCAGTGAGCACAAGGAGCAATTTAATCACTCTTCTTAAAACAGCCTGGCACGTCTGGCAGGATTTTGGTTGCACCTCTTCTCATCTCTGTTCTCTAATGGCAGGGAAATGGGTCCCTCTGTATCCCACCATGGGAAGCTCTGAGCTTCCCGGCGAGGAGGGGAAGGGCGGGAGGCAATGTTCTGCTTCTGGGCTGGGGAAGAGCCTCTTAACAGTGGCTGCTCTAAGAAAGGTCCCCTTTCCATGGGTTGCTGGAGTGAGGACCAGGAAGGGGTTAGGTAGGAGCAAGGACAAAGCAGAAAGCAGTGACTGATGGAAGTCTGGGACAAATGGCATTTAAAAGTTTAGAGGGAAGGTGGAGCTTCAGGGCACCTTAGAGGAGAGAGGTCTCATTTTTCAAATTTGTTGTTGCTTTCTGTCACTTTGTATGCAATCTTTGGAGTGTTAAGAGAAGTGAAAATGTTTGCAGCTCCTCTTTGGAGAGGGGAGATCCTTTCCAGGCTGCTGCAGGGAGGTGGCACCTGGGGCTGGGCTGGTGTTGTGCTGGATGCTCTCGGAGCAGCCCCGGTGCTGGAGTTGGGCAGTCGAGGCTTCCTCCCTCATTTGCTGGACTGATTTAGACAGGATCATGGAGACTAGACACCGTGTAGTAGTTTTTAGAGCTTGGAGAGAGGGAGAATAGCAGGAAGGGCTCTCTGATTTTTCTCTTAGCCATCATTTCCAGGGCAGCGGGTGGAAGCTTGCGATCTCCTACTGTCCTTCAGAGACCTCTCCTTTTTTGCTGTTTTATGCTGAATCCCTATGCTGAATTCACTACGCTGCAAGTTCTCTTGATGTTTTATTTTCCATCCCTTGCAGACTTCTTTACCCTTTTTTTTTCCCTGAGGCTCCAATCCCTCTTGCTGTTTTGTGGTAATTGGGGTGGTCTCCTTCTCTCCCCTCCCTCACTCCTTTCTTCCAGTTATCCTGGTTGTCTTTATTTACTCTTCCTACTCCTGTTTCTCCTGCACTTTATTCACCCACACCTATGTTTCTCTTGCATGCAGCCCTGTTCCTCTCCTGTGTTACTTCCCACCCTGTTCTCTATGCTCTGCACCATGTAGCTCGTTTTCCCTCTGTGAATCTTGCTCTGTGAGGTTTCCTACATGAAGTAAAGAAACCCTTGGTGCTTTTGTAGTCACTCCTCTCTTCCTGTTGCTGGCTCTGTCTCTCCCCCCCACCTGAGTGGAATCTAAACAATTAAATTTCTCTAAATAGCTCCTCTTCCCCTGTGTGCCTGACTCTTGCCCCAAGCCAGCTCCTACCAGGCAGGAGGTGGCAGAGCAATGGGTTCCCCTCGAGGTAGACACCCCTGGCTTCCTTGTGCTTTGCCATCAGCCTTTCCAGAGGGTCAGCATCCCTCCCAAAATAGGCACAAGCACCACCGGAAGCCACTGCCAGAGCCTGGCATTGCCCCCAGGCTGCCTAGGGAGCCACAGTTAATATCTTCCAGGTTTGCATGGTCGGCATTGTAATGCAAGTATTACAAAAATGATTTGAATTCCAGTTCAGAATTGTTTATCAACTGTCCAAACTAAATGAAAATCAAAACTTGTCCTAGTACCTGTCTGCCAAAACCTCCTGGTTACAGACAGGTCTCCAAGACACAATCTCTCCTTAAGCCTTATATGATGAGGGAGGAAAGGAGGGGACTGCTGCCCTGCCCCTCCCCTAACCTCCACTTTTTGGAACCTCCCTCTCTCCATGAATAACTCCAGTGTCTGCCACTGGTACTGGGCAGAGCTTTGCCAATCATCCTCCTCAGCAGGAAGTGGACATGATTTTGATAGTGTCACTCTACCACACACGAGACACTGAATAGCAGCAAGAAAACTGAGCAGTTTTGTTAATCTCGCTGGTGTTTGGCAACCTCTCAGCAGCAGCCACAGAGGCACTACAGCTGTCTGTCTGCAGCCCCAGGAATACAATGCTGCATTATTTTATATTCGGCAGATCATCTTTCCAATCATAAGGTCTGGAACGTTTTATATATTTACTTCTCCGTGAGGAAAGCTTCCTACTGTCACTAATCAACAGATTTTTTGAGACCCACTGTCTTGTGAGTTACAGAGATAAATGAATTGGTACTTACAAAGCACTTTGGGGTCCTAAGGTGGAAATACAAAATATTGTGTGTATGTTTTGGAAACGACCTCGGAATAAGTTACATGGTATGGTGTCATTCCCAGTGATGCAAGTCCAACCACATCCTCTATCCAAATACTCCTGAAGGCTCAATTTTTTTCCTCTGATGTTCACAGATGTTAACTCACATTGATCCTGTTCTCCCTTCCCCAATGTTATTTTGGCAAAGAAAAAACAAATAAAATAATAAACATAATGCAAAAAAAAAGAAGACACAATGAGGCATTTTAACACTGTGTCCCTCAGAGTGCTATACTTGTACTGTCTTAGAAATAACACACATTTAAAATTATAGTAATGCACTGGTAGCAAACCAAGAGAGGTTATCCTTTAGTGTGTCCAGCTCTGGGCTCTTGTTTCTTTTGTTTCTTTCTTGTGTTTAATTAGTATTAGTCGTGTGATTAGGCTGGACAATTATGGAGCATAAAACCTGTGCCAGGTGACTTGAAAATATCAGTTCCCCCTCTGGAGCATTTGCCCTCCAAATGGGAGGGAGCAGGTGCCAGGAGGCAGCGCAGCAGCCGTGAGCCTGGGCAGCGTGGCAGGCAGCAGCAGAGCTTTCTGGCAGCCCAGCTTTGTCCAGGTTTCCCAGGACATGCCAGAGGAGATGGCCGGGATGCTGCCTCAGCACCGCTGCTTCCACTGGCCGTGCAGCCCTTCCGTCACTGCCAGCTGCAGTACCACCTCTGCACGTTGTTATTTATATTTTCCTGCTGCACCAGCCCGGCTGCCCCTCAGGGCACCTCCACCCAAAGTGGTGACTTCAGCCCTGTGGAATGATGAGTGGGTTATTTTGGAGAACCAGCTCAGCCTGGACCAGTGGCAGCAGGAGCTGGGATGCTGTATAGCTCAGTTCCCAGGGGCGGCTACCAAGTCTCTGGTGTTGAGTGTGTTGCTGTGCCCAAGCACAGGGCCAGGAGACAGGATGGTGTCACTGACCCAGCTCAGGAAATGGAGTGGGTGAATGGTGGTTTGGCAGAGCTAGTGGGCAGAGGATGAATTTAACTCAAGAGTTGCAGCCTCAGGAGGAGCCCATGTAATGAAAGATACTATTGCAAAGCATTGTTAAAACAAAGGTGTCCTGGTTCCCCTCCAGTAGGGAAATGAGGTGTATTGGCATGTGGAAGAGCAGTCATGAGAGAAGGGGAAGAAAGGTCAAATGAGAATGGCACTGACCTAAGCTGTCAATACCCCACTCTAGGCAGTAAGAGGGTACAGGGACTTGTGCTGGAAGGAGGCAGAGGTGCCTGCAGGGAGTATTTGGCAGCACAGTGGCACATGCCTGGGACCTTGTGATAACCCCTTGCCATGAGAGGGGCTCACAGCACTGTCACCGGAGGTTTTGGGCACTGCTCTGTTCCAATATGCCACAGATGCAAAGAAATACTTTCTCCCAAAGCAATGCATGGTGCAGTCAGGAGAGGTTACAACTCTTCTCTGACTTTAGCTTTACAGGTATTTCATTTGTTCCTCGCTGAGCTCCTCCAGCCACGCAGGCCAGGTTGCCCAAGAGCAGAGGCAGCGCACAGACCTGCTCCAGAAGCAGCATGTGGATGAACTTGTGTGGCAGTAGAGCTCGGCACGAGTCTGTCTGTCAGCCTAAATGAGCAAGAAAACTGCGCGGTGCCTTGGAGGCCAGCCCGACCCCCCTCCCGGTGAGCCGCGGGCAGAGGAGAGCGGCCGGGCTGTTCGTACCTGGTGCTGCGGGACTCCGCCGTGC